AAATCTCATCTTGGCAAGGCTGTTAAATAAATACAGAAATGTCAGCACCAAAGTTGAATAACATTTACAGCCTCTGACTAATATCATAGTGGGAATTGCAGAAGGGAAATGTATTAAAGGGTTACTGTGATAGACAAGCTAAGAAGGGATTGATATACCACTATCATATCCTGGGCACAACAGATAGAGATAGGGAATATGAGGGTCTCAAGAAATCTTCAGGACAAGAATATCAGGAAGTTGAGAAAATTCCATCTAGAATAACTGTCCAACATGTGGAAAAAATCTTGGTGTATAGTACAGTGATAGAAAGAAGGAGAAGGAGTTTAGTAAAACTCAAAAAGTACCCACCAAACAAGATTCTGGTAGCTCAGACTGATTTATAGATTTTGAAGTAATAGTAAGAGATTGTATTGATGACTGACAAAGAGGTAAAAAGTGATGATTCAAGCCAATTGAGGCTCTGAGGATATCTCCCAAGTAAGAAATTGGTGACCTCTTTATAATCTTCAAAATTACATAACACTGTCTCCTCAAACTGGTGTGAACCTGTTGAAACATTTATTCTTAAGGAAGTGGGCCAAACAAAGAGAGCTTATATTCCCCGCATTCATAGATTAAATATGTTTGATCTCAAACTCTCTATGTGCAATTACAAAATTTACTTGACTTTTCATCACTTTCTGATTTCAGATTGGGTGGTATTAACCATATTAAATAAATGTAAATTCATAAAACTTGGCGCTTGTGCCTCATATTTAAGCACATAAAGCTGTGAAATTTCACTTGAAAGCGGGGCTTTACAAGTTTACACCTATTCAACAACACATCTCAGTTTCAGCCCCCAGAAATCTTTTGAAATCATGAGTTGCTCGTGAGGTGCGTGTGGATCAAAATTTCATTCCTCTCAATGTTGTTCCCCTTTTATATTCCAACAATTGTCACTTGAGTTCAAGCCCATTAACATTTCCCTACACACTCACTACATCCATACCTTTCCAAATCCAGTAACACTTCAAGCGCATTTATTTCCCCTGCCGCATCCGGTGTTCCACCTTTAAACACGGAGCTGCATTTGGTGCACAATTGTCACAACCAGTTTCCATGTGTCATAGTCCTGACCAGGAACACTGCATTCTAGCTATTTCAGCATCTTTCCGGCAAACTCAGGTATTACTTACACCTCATCCGGCATCCAAGTTCCAAATCCAATCTCAGTTGGTTTCATCACATTCTGCAATAGTGCTAAAAACAATTAAAATTCACAATCTTATGCTTCCAAACTTGGACTTTATTTATCTCTCTTCCATTGTTCATCCTATAACCGGCAGGCATCAATAAATTTCTTTCAATTATCATATTTTCATATGATTCTATCCCATCCAATGAACTGTGACCAAGCTTGATGAACGTTACACACTATCAATTACGGGCTACAAAGTAGAATGGCATGTGCCCGGCTTTGTGCCCAGATTTTTTTAGCAGTAAATTTGAATTCTGGGCCCGGACTTTTGCCCAGAAAATCAAAATTTACTGCCAAAATAATTCCGGGCACGAGGCCGGGCATGTGCCTGCATTCTACTTTGTATCCCATAATTGATCTCATCTTGTTACTATTGCAATTTCTCTCACTAGACTTTTTTTGCTCACAAGGGGCATATTAAATCTCTTCAAACAATTCAAAATGTTGCCAAATCGAGAACAATTCATCTTCAACTCAATCTAACTGACAAATCAATCTCAAGAATCAAGTATCCTATGGTTCAGCTAGTGTATATCTGGATCAAACCTCAATACCCTTTTGATAAAAGCTACAAAGGGGATCAATCATAGATGTAATATCCTTGTTTACATTCACACCTTCTCAAAATTGTGTCAACTACTTCCATAACTACAATTCTCAATCTCAACAATCCAAAATTTAGACAAAATATTGCTCCGAATCCTATAGACACTTTGTATCCAATTGGTATAGCAACATTGCAACTGTTTTTCCAGGTCATGTGTACCAAGTATTCTGTATTTTTTCCTTATCTCTTGTTCTATGAAATCAAGTAATCTTTCAGTTTTCCCTTTGAGGAATCTATAGTTGCCAAATTTAATATTCAAAAAAGGAACATATTTTGATTGCTTCTTCAACTCTCTGAACCTTTCTTCGATCCCCTTTGCCACTATATTGGTTTTTCACTTATGACGTGATTTGTGATTGTGAATGACTGAAAGGCAAGGGTTTCTTAATTAGTATAGTCATGATGTTTCCATTATTTTCTCTTGGTTTCATTTTTATTAGACATGTATAAAGCACTTGATGTTTTCCTGTTTGTTTCAAAATTCAATTCATTCAAATCCTTTTCACATTCCTCCTAGCAATCTCTTAAACTTACAACGTGGTTGCTGGTTGTCAATGACTCATAGGTTATGACCTGATTTTTTGAGTAATTCCACAAGTTTTGATCATACTTCATCAATTTTTCCAAATGCAATACTCCTTGTTTCTTCACAATGTCTGTGAAGTCACATTTGCCTTTGTCTCTCAATTCCAATTCTCTTGTCAACACTGGTTCTCCTGGGTCTTCTTTTGATACATCTGACAAATTTATGTCTACAATCAGACAAAACCTTTCTGGAGACTCTTCTGATCATTATCTTTAAACTTCTTCACAATGATCAGCTCTACCTCCATTGCATCAAATACCAATGACAGGATCAAGATTCCTGAGCTTGTGGCCGGCATGTTTTCAAATTGGAACAAACACCGTCATCTGGCGCTACAGACTTGTGGTTTGGCTGGTTTTCTCACTTCCAAGGAAGCTCCTGTCGATGCGGCACAACTTGTGATCTACAAGCAAAACTAAGGCCGGGTGATGGAACTCATACTGAACTCTCTTGGTACATCCAACAAGGCTTTAATCAATTTAACTGATACTCCTAAAGCCACATACACTAAACTTGCCAAGACTCATGGTAGCAGTGCTGGGGTTTTGGTGGCTCTTGTGAGTCTCAAGTCTGCAAAATTGGTGCAAATTCTGTGCAAGATGATGAAAGAACTTGCACAGAACTTGCACGAATTGATTTTGAAGTTTGAACCCCATAATCCTTAATTATAGGCGATTGATAAACCACGCCGACTTCAAAGCTGGTTTGACGCCGGTTTTTTCAAACCGGATTCCTTTAGAAGATGTACAGCTGCTATACTGAGGTACAGAGCTGTACCACTTCTACAGCCTTCAAACCTCTTCAAACTATTTCTGACGCCGGGTTTTGACAGACTCGGCGTTATTCCTTTTGAAAGTTTTTGGATTGTTTTCACCGCTGATCAATCCTAATTCTTGTTTCTGAGAAGGTGACTAGAGAAATTCATGTTCTACATACTCAATTTCGGTAGTTGTAGTACACATTGAGAGTTTCTACTTGTCTGAGATGAAGGGCTATTGAAAATGTTTCCATTTGCAATGTTGGACGATTGAACAAAGCTTGGACCAATCACAAGAAACATGATATACATCAAAATGCGGCATATCTCTGTCTTTGACTCATCGTTCATCGACTTCTTTGACACTACTAGAAATCACCGATTATTGTGATAGCATGCTCTGTTTTGAGGTTTCCATTGTGAAGAAGCAAACCAATTGCAAACCTCATGATTGTTTCTATCTACTCGCGGCTCCTAATTCTTAAAGGTAGGCAGCGGCTTCAGTTATTTTTGTCCAAACTTCAAACATCTTTATCCGAATCAAAAGCCGGCGTCAGAAGCAAAACAAAACCCCGGCTGCAGAAAAACCTAGAAAAACTCTGAAGGCAGTACACCAGGGGGTAATGGTCCTCGGCCTCGGCCGGTTCCTGTGACGATTTCAAAGGTTTCGTCACCTGAACCGCCCAGGAAGGTGTGGAACCGGTTTCGCCAAAACCGATTCGGACACCGTTCCACCACCGCTTCTGGAACGAGCTGCATGTCAGCAACCGTTTGAGAACGGCTCCTGAGGCGGTGGTGAAGCAGTTTTTTTGATACCAATTGCAATCGGTGTCGAACTACCTTCAGCAACGACAACTTAACTTGCAATTTGTTTTTGTGAGTTACCATGCGAGCAATCGATCATCACTGATGGTCGTAGGCCAGCTTTTGAAAGTTGTGCGCTACATGACTCTACATGCTGAGCCGAATACACGTGTCCATCGGTTGAGCCTCGGAGAATCACATGGCAAGCATCGTTACCGGTTGTGCCAACGATAGCTGATAAGCCTTGTTATTGAGGAATGACTCGGTTGATGATTCGAAAGCATACTGATATGACACAAGGTGGACTCACAGTGTGGTCTGTATGGTGTAGCGGTGAAACGCTCTGTGGCCACTACGAAGCCTTTTCTCGTTTTTGAGCCTGTGTTCAAGTCCCACTGCCTGATTTTCTTTTGGCAAATCTACGACGTACCCTTGGAACGTTCCAGGGACCGTGTTTAGGGGTCACCGAGGCAGTTTGCTCGCACCGCCAAAAACGGTGATGGGAACCGCGTTCGTGCGGTCCCATCTGAAATCGTCTCAGAAACGACACGAATAGTTCAAATCCGTGACGGCAGGAAAACGGCTTCGAAAACCGTTTTCTTGCCGTAAGTTTACCCCCTGGTGTAGAAGTGGTACAGCTCTGTACCAGTCTGGACTCTGTACCTCAGTATAGCAGCTGTACATCTTCTGAAGGAATCCGGTTTGAAAAAACCGGCGTCAAACCAGCTTTGAAGTCGGCGTGGTTTATCAATCGCCTAATTATAATGTTAAGTCCTAACAGTTCATGACACAGTCTCACAGTGACAGTCTGTCACTGTGAGACTTGACAGAGCTACAAATATGTAGACAAAGGGAAACGGAAGGAACAAAGTTGCATAGGATATATCACGTGATGATGAGATAGTGTGGCTGTACCATAAATCAAACAAACCATTCGTCCTTTTGTTGACCGTCTCAATTTCAAAGCGATGAGCTCGAACTCGTAAAATTCATTTATCATTTTATCAACAATTCACCACCACAGTCTCAGCACAGATATCTTCGAATCGAATTTAAGGAATCAAGCTCAAAGCTAAAAGAACTGTTATCATGCCACAGGCGAACGGGGTTCAGGCGAACCTCATCTGTAATGGAATATCTCTGACCGAATACCCCGGCCTCTCGTCCGATCCTAACACGGTGTTGTGCGAATCTACGCCTGGCCAAACTTTTGAGGTAGAGTTCTTAGGACCGGAGGCACCTTCAGATTGCGTAGTCAAGCTCTACTGTGATGGCGTCTGCATGGATAGCTATGTGTACCCTCGAAATCAGCTTATGAAAGCGACTTTTCGTGGTATCTATCTTCCGAACGATGACGCAACATTATTACCATTCAAGTTTGCGAACGTCGAGCTTTGTGAAGAAGATGACAGTCACCCAGAGCAAATTGTCAAAAATCTTGGCACTGTGTCTCTGGAGGCCTTCCGTTGTACCTTGGGTCCCAGGAAACCAAATAGTGATAGTGTTATTCCAGCAGTCGCATCAAACAGCAAATTCTCTGAACGGAACAAGAAAGCCAGTATGATTCCACATACCATCGGGTCAGTTCCCCTGCCTGTACTTTGGAATGAAAACCAGTCATTTTGCTTTCATTACTAAACCTTGCTGACTCACATATTTGTCACAGTCTTGGACAATCGATCCCTGCCTCAAAAAAGCGATCTTCGATGTGTCGTGCTACTCATAACCTGGATCCCACACCCTATCTGCGATTTGTGTGGCAGTACAGGTCTCGCAGTAAGCTCGAATAACTCACTGGGCCTTTTCTTCTTCTGTCTTTCCTGACTAGAAGCCGAAAGCTGATCGTTGATATCTATCCTTATTCATCAGGTATGCTGATCACTTCTGGCGTCATTCCTCGGCCTGTTTCACCTCCAATTACACATCAAAATGACGAACCAAGACCAGAGGAACAGGAACCACGTATAGAGGCGCTCAAGGATCTCAAGCCCGACATCAAGCCAAAGCCCATCGGCAGTAAGCCTCTGGTGATCGATCTTTGCGATGACAACCAAACATCTGCATTCTTTTCTAGTAGTATTGATAACCCGATCATTCTTGATGACGACGATGACGATTCGCCCATTCAATCATCCAAAAATGTAGCTCAAGCTGGTAGTAGTTCAACCCAGCAAGGTGATATCAAACCTGTGAAGATTGAGTCAAAGATGGCTGCTGGCGGGCAACGCAATCAATCGATCATAGCTATTGATGGGCCACCTAATCAAACAAAACGAGCCCAAGGTGGGATTGAAGTTGACCAAAGTGATCCAAAACGTGCAAAGTTGACAATACAGTCTGTGACATTGAATGACTCGGATGAAGATCCAGATGATGAAGATTCGGCTTGATTATCTTGGTCTAATTCCTCTCGAGAAAATTTTCAAATCTCTTCAAGTTTCAGAAACCATCAATCACTTGATTTTTCAAACTTTAAAATGTGTGATCATCTTGTTCCCCCTCTCACAAAACCTTGTGATCCTTCAATGCCAATCTATCCCTATATACGTCTATCGTAACGCTTTACACCCCGAAACCCAGCTCATGTTTCTAATTTTTCATATTTTGTTATCACACCTGCTCGTTTCTACCCTTTGGTGCTCGTTAAAGGACTCTTGAATTGTAATTTTCCTTATCTGTTTCTAAAAGGATGTATTCGCTTTATGTCTGATATATAAAATCCAACACATTGTGGATCCTATAGACTTCACAGAACTTGGACGTCCAACAGCAAAATCAATTGAAATCTGCGTTTCACTGATACAAACTCTTTTATTATTCAAACAAGGGCGAATGGAACACCAAAGATACAGAGATCCAAGTCGAACCGACAGCCACATCCCAAGTATAATGAGTTGATATGAAACTGAGTGTAAACAAGTATAAGAATGTATGACAACTATGATAAAAGAAACTAAGTATAATTAAAGTTGATTTTCACTTTCAATTCACAGGAGATTGGGCTAGTCTACAAGTTTCCTGCCAAAAGCCAAGAGCCTGCTATGTTGGGTCTTGGTACATTGAGAATCAAGTGCAGGGGAAAATCAATTAAATTGAGAAATGAAATTTCCTTTGAGAGTTCTCAAGGGCTGAACAATATGCAGGGCAAGTACACTAGATGATTTTTTCAGATAATGATCCTCAATTGAAAAGTGAATACATAGGATCCTAAGGTTGAGGAGTTTGAAATCAGAGTTATAATGAACAGAAAAGTAATCCTTTATTCTCCTTTTGACTGTTTTTTTGTTTTCATCTTACTTTTTCCAGAAAGCATCCCACAAGGAATGTCTGCTGGTGCCAGTGGTATATCAAAGGAAGTCAAGGTGGTCTCTTGGACCATGCTATCTGCCATTGAATCATCATATTTGAATATATCTGCTCATCCCATCAAAACCTCATTCATGTTTTGTTAGATTCATTTTAATTTCTTTCCTTTGCACTGAAGTGTTTTTATTACTACTCCATCTATATTACTCTACTACACAAAAGGCTACACCTTCCATAAGACTGTATGCTCTGTAACGTAGTTTTTGGTTTTTACAAGCCAGTGTGGGGGCTGTCAGGCCTTGGGTCTCCTGACTGGGTAGGCTCTCTGCTACCATATCTTGGAATGTATTCTCTGGAGCTTGTGGAGAGCCTTCCTTGGTAGGTTTCAAGACTTTTTTATTCATGGGATAGCTGGCCTTTTCAATGATAAATCACTACTTCCCACCTCCTCTCACCCTCAAAATCACTCTCATGGATTGCATGTCACCATCTGAACTTTATAAATCAGCAGTTAGGATACGATGTCTGAGACAAAATTTGGCCCAATTTGAAGAAGTTCCAGATCACAAAAGGTGCACATTTTCTTTCTTGTAGCAAGGGTGAAAGTTCAAAAGCCTTGTGTCAACAACATAGAGTTGAGATGATTTTTGATGGGAAATTCACTGACAATGAAGAACAGGTTTTGGCTGTTTATCAAGGCAATCTTGACAATGGCTGGGAGACAAGTTCTGAAGTTAACCGTGATATGTATATTGCTCTCCTTCAGTTTGTTTTTGTTTAGGTCATGTTGCAATCAATATCAATTTTATCCAGGTTATGGGGTCTTTTCTTGGTGGCCATGAGGTACAATGTTCACTTCATTTATACATCAACATGCAATTCCACACAAGCATTAGAACTTGAAGCATGTACAGTTGATTTTAAAAATGTTGACCAATGTTTGCCTTTTGGCTTGGATTCTTGTCAAGCTTTGTGAGATTGACTGTATATGTCCATTAGCACCTCAGGCTGAAAGATTTGCAGATTTATTTTTGTTCCCTTCCATTTGAATGTATTTTTTGACACCAACAACTTGAGAAAAGACATCTTTGTCTCAGGCCAAGATTGGTGTTTGAGTTTGTTTGCACCAATACTGTCTCTCAAAAATCTCTCAAATCTTATCTTGAGAGAGAGACTTTGAAAAGTTCAAGGGTAACATGTGGCACATCAATGTACAGATTCTGATCAGGGTATGGAGTCCAAGTTTTTGGCTATGGTGAGTGAAAATAAATGAGACAACAAGTTTCCAATCATTATTTTGATTGGAAGAAAGTTATTGAAGAGGGCACATTTTCATTTGGGTATAAATAATTTTCTGTAAAGCAGTACAATGTTCAAACAGTAAGATATATGTATTGCGGAGGGGAAGATATATGAGGTGGAATTTTTTGATTGCAAGTATTACGGATGCCCACATGGGAGGTAGAAATTTTTGACTATGTAGCTGACAAAATCTTTGAAGTAAAATGATAGCTTGAATTGGCCTCTTCAATAACTTGATAAGCAAACCCTTGTATGGTGTTTAGGCATGTACTTCAGAATGACACTGACAGGTAATAGTTGGCAATGTGTACATATGTGCCTTTGACCTGCCAAAAACCATGTGCGACTTCAATTGCAAAATGAAGAACCCATGAAATTGAACCCCAACTTCTCCTCAAAAACATGTCTCTGCCTAGATTTGTCCTGATTGGAGTTGCTCACTCCAACAATTGAGCTTGAAAAACTGCAACCAAGCTTCAATGAAAACCTTGCATATATCACTCAAAGCTTTGCATGTAATCTCACTCAACTCTCACTGAATAATGTACCAATGCATCAATATGGATTGAACTACTAGAACCCACCATCTTAGAGATGTCCACTGAGATTCCTCTTGAATTCTTCAAAGCCTTTCAGGATTTGCAAAACCTCTCACCAATTTGCCTGCATAGGACTCCCAATTATGACGAGTTGATATAGAAAAATCAATGCAGGATAGATTGTGGCCTGCTCTTCAAAAACTGCAGGTCACGTGTTGGAAAGATTATTTAATGCCGGCTCGGATACGAAGTTTGAGGTCAAAATGTCATTCACCTGGAGTCAGATTGCATTTTGATACACGTTTTTGTATGAATGACAATGAGCCTGAGTTTAATGCCCTTTAAATGGCTATGAGTGTATTCAATGCGTGCAACAATTCCCAATTTCCCCAATCAATGACACCGCGGGAATTATTATGTTCAAGACCTGATTGAGCAAAGTTGTGGTGTCCAAGTCAGCAATAAGTCTCAATTTTTGGATTGAAACCTATTAAAGGCAAGGGGGGGACCTTGGATTTTAATAGGTTTCAATCCAAATTTGAGACTTATTGTGAACTCTGTCACCACATCAAGTTTCACATATGGTTGAACCTAATAGATGCCCGTGGTGTGAAGGCATGAACAATGAAGCTGATTGGTGGATGTCATATCCGCTGCCTCAAATACATTACATATCTGGAGTCATCTGTGGAAAGTAGACAGATATCCACTTGACCCAATGTGAATACTGAAGGTCAAGAAACTGACTGTCTAGATTTGTTTTGATTCATTAAAGTTCCTTCAATACATGTTTATTTGTACTTTTTAGTGGCAGGCATGATCTCAACCATGGCCATTGTGATGTGCCAAGCCAAGCCAAGCCAGCCTTGCTGAGAGTTGGTGCGCGCATTTGAATTGCGGGAAGCAGGATCTAGTGGTTGGCTTTTCATCTGGCACAGGAATTTTGTTGTAGAGTGTTGTGTGTACACGACTGCGCCACAGCAGGTCACGTGTTAGCTGTACAGGCTGGCGTAGATATAGTCTCCTTGTCCCGGCATCGGCTTCCACATCATCATCACTGTTGGAGCCGACGCCGTAGGACTTGAGCTAACACCGCCGGTCGCCTATCTGTTATAGGTTATGAGCAGCGTTACCACACGATTATACTTGAAATCATAGTTTTTCGTCGAAGTAATTGTTACTTGCCGTATAAGTCTGAGCCGCCACTCAGCATCGATTTTTTTTCGTCATATGCCGTTAGCACGTAGTCCACCTACATCGTCAGCACCGAATCCATCAGTAACGACTAGAAGTCAGTCTCGTTTGCAATCTCGCCCGCAATCGTCGATTCGAAATCAAGCCGAAACCTCGCAATCGCACTCGAAACGTGATACATCCAAAGAAGATACCAAAATCGAACATCGTAGCCGTTTACAAAGCGAGGAAACCGAAAGTACCGTTAACACTCGACACAATACACCTGCTACCTTCCCTCCTCCACCTTTAGATCCTCAGTCTTTCATTAGTACCCCTCCTCATTTACAATCCTCCGACGCAGATAACGAATCAGACTCTGCCGATAAGACCATTAGTTTCATTGGTAGAGGCCGTAGGGAAACGTCTTACCGAAACAGATCACCATCTCCTGATATGGAAGACCTCATGGCCGACCGCATCAAACAACTTATCACGAAACATGACAACGTTCACAAGTTCATTATCGGAATCGATCATCTCAACCTTGATGGTACCAACCTTGCTAGATGGAAAATCAGAACCGAGCAAGCCGTCTATGAAATGACGGGAGTAGCAGACTACTGGGACTTGACCAACATCGACCAAGATAACCCGGTAGACGTAGAGATCAATAAATGCGCGGCTAGAGTAATCAACACGACGATAGCTGAGGAGCTTAAAGATTTGATATACAAAAAGAAATTAGCTCATGAGGCGATGCATACCTTAGAAGAACTTTTTCATCAAGGAGGACGCACAGCTCAATATGTTATTTTTCGCAAACTTATGCTACGTCAATTCAACCCAGCTACTACAGACCTTATGACCTTTGTGAACGAAGTTAACAAAGATTTCGATAAACTTAAATCGGTTGGTTTCACTTGGACTGAGGATATCGTGAAGGGTATGGTCTATCAGCTTTGTTCACCAACTTCCGGTGAATACGGCATGGATGTTGTCAATGGCATCCTCGACGCACGCTACCGAACCGACAAGTCACCTTTTACTTCTTCCAAAATACGATTGACCATACAGAACGTGATCACGACTCGAAAGACGGTAAATGAAAACGAGATGAGCGTACAAGCATTATCCTCTTCTTTTCAGAAAATGAAGACCCCGAGTTGGAAGCCCAAACAATCATACGCTACTTCCTCCAATTTTTCTTCTCAACAATCCCCTTCGTCTCAATCTCAACGAAAACCGATGCGCATGAACGGTCCTGCCCCACCACCGCCTATGTTCCCTGATACCAAAGCACGGGAAGCTACTGAAGCCAACCCTATCGTACCCTCTCAAATGTCATGTCCCGAAGTCCACCAAGGGATATGGCAGTGCTTCCACTGTGCAACCTTTGGTCACAGTAAACTCGAATGTCCTGCTTTTAA